AACTAGCCTTTCCCCTCAGCGTCTGGGGGATATCTAGGTCATATCTGATAAGTGTCTTCTTTGTAGGGTGTGACCCGGTCAGACTGGATTTTAGGGTAGGGCCACTTGTGTCAGGGTAGGCTCTGACCACTCCAGAAAGATCAACCATGTGACTTAGGGTGGGGATTTTGTGTTACGCATTCAGTTGACCTGGAGACTGAGTAAAACCGTGTGGGCAAGCAATCAATCATGTCTTAAGCACAGTCCTGGTTAAAAACTCTGAACACCAAAGCTTAGGTGAGCTTTCCTGGTTGGCAATACCCCATATATACCACACGTCAATGCTAGGAGGGTAATGTCTTGTCACTCAATGGGAGGAGGACAATGTGGGCTTTAAGTTTAGAATCCTTGCAGACTATATATCTCTCTGGCTAATGTTAACATGTATTCTTTCCCTACAACAAATCATAACCATGAACATAATAATTTTTAGCAAGTCCTGTGAGTCCTTCGAGCAAATTACCAAACTTGAGGGTGGTTGTGGGAATTGCCTAAACTTGCAGTGGTTTCAGAAGTGAAGGTGGTCTTGTGGAGGACTGTGTCCTCCAACTTCGATTCTTAACTCATTTGGGAATGAGTTGATGAACTTATGCCCAAATTCATTCTTTTAAAAAGTCATTGTTCATGTCTTAGAGGAACTTATAACCTAGGTAAGATGAGAAGCATTTGAGGAACAGGCAATATGTACTCATATACAAGGTGTCAGGCATAGTCGCGCTACTGAGAAGGGACAGATTGGAGGGAGGAATGCATTTGACAAGGCTTTAGGAAAGAAATGTGGTGGGGTTTTTTTGTTTGTTTGTTTGTTTGTTTTGGCTTAAGTTAATAAAATGATCTGGGGAAAAAAAAGAAAAGAAAATATAGGGTCTGGACTGATTGTGAGAATAAAAGAAACTAATTCTACAGAGAAACCAGTAAAAATGAAAGCAGAAAGGTAGGGGAAAGCACAAAAGAATAGTAGGCAGTTTGAGACAGAAGATTGAAGCAGGTGTTGTGGTTGACTCCCCAGCAGCCCCAACAGTCCCATATTATGATTAATCTAAGTCATGTGGGGTAATTCCAATCCCCTTTCTCAGTGACTAGTTTAGGAAAGGGTGTGTTAACCAATTCTAGCCAATGCGGCACAAAGGAAAGTATTTGGGGCCTTCTAGAAAGCAGGCATATGGCTGGGTGTGGTGGCTCATACCTGTAATCCCAGCACTTTGGGAAACTGAGACAGAATTGCTTGAGATCAGGAGTTCAAGACCAACCCAGTCAACATAGAGAGATCCTATCTCTATCATATATTTAAAAGAGTAAATAAATAAATAATAAAAAGCAGGCATAGGAAGACGTCTATCTTCTCCTTCTGGCTATTATTATGTGTGGATGTGTCACCTGGAACCATCTTACTACTGAGCTGAGGCTGAAGTCAATTCATGGAGGGGACGCCATGGTTAGAAGGCTACACAGAAGCAAAGCTAGACCCCTGTGGTTTGCATTAAGAATCTAAAGTACCCTAGAATTGTCTTTTAGTTACATTTAATATACATTTCCTTATTGTTTAACCATCTGAGACTGATAATCTGTTACTTGTAGCTAACAGTATATGGCAGGCAGAATGCCCTTTCCCAAAAAATTATCCAAGCCCTAATGTCTATAAATTGTAATCATGTTAGGTTACATGGCTAAAGTGATTCTGCAGCTACAATAAAGGTTGCAGATCTCAAAATGGAAAGATTATCTTGGATTATCTGGGTGAGTTTAATCTAATTAGATGAATTCTTGAAGGAAGAGAACTTTCTCTGGCTGGAGTGAAAGACATGAGGCAGAAAGGGAAGTTGGAGCAATAAGACAAATTGACCTGATTCCTGGCTTTAAAGATGAAGGTAGCCAGCTGGGTGCCGTGGCTCATGCCTGTAATCCCAGCATTTTGGGAGGCCGAGGCAGGCGGGTCACCTGAGGTCAGGAGTTCAAGACCAGCCTGGCCAACACGGTGAAACCCCATCTCTACTAAATGTATAAAAATTAGCCGGGCATGGTGGTGCGCATGTCTGTAATCCCAGCTACCCAGGAGGCTGAGGCAGGAGAATCACTGGAACCCGGGAGGCGGAGGCTGCAGTGAGCCAAGATCAAGTCACAGAACTCCAGCCTCCAGCCTGGGTGACAGAGCCAGGCTCTCAAAACAAAGCAAAACAAAACAAAACAAAACACGATGAAGGGAGCCATGAGCGAAGCAATATGGGCAGCCCCTAGACATCGAGAACAAACCCTGACTAACAGTCAGCAAAAAACCAGGGACCACAGTCGCACCCTCTGAGGAAGAAATTTCCTGAGTAGTTTGAATTATCTCCATTCTTTAACCCTAACCCATATTTCCTCTTGCCTTTCTACTGATCTTTAATAACATGGCAATAGAGCCTATGGAATGTCATTTTAAAAAAGAAGAAGAGGAAGAAGAACAACAACAAAGATTGTGACCATTCCTTGAATGAATACAAAGTTCCAGTAAAGTTGAGTGTGCTTCTGACTCACTGAGTAATAATGCACTCACCCTTCCCCCAGCCCTCCACCCCCAGTGTTAAATGTTTTCAGAGTTAGGTGACTAATTCATCCTCTTCTCACAGCAGCTTCTGTAAAACCAAATTCTTGTTTGTTCCAAACTACCACATGAGTTTCTTAAAAGAAAAGTCATAGTTGTAAGGTTATAGTTTTCTCATTCGTAAAATTACACTAAGTGACTCGGTTCTTGTAGGAGACAGGGGAGGGGAAGAGAAAGGCTTAAAAGAAGGCATTCATTCCCAGTAGCACATTCTGCCATGTTGCTATTTGTATCAGTCCCCTCAAGTTTCCAAATGTTTCTGTTTTCACACAACTATCTATTGTTGGGTGTAAGGCCTTTATATGAACCATGCTGTGTTCAACAAGCATATTCTTGCTTGCTATCAACCTCTCCCAACACACACACACAATTAACTCCCTGCTTTGGTTCTCTCTCAGCCCAGGGAATATTTATCCAGTCAGCAAAAACCAAGGTTACTCCCCCAAAAGCATATTGCAATACCTAACAATTTACCAATATTGTTTGTTTGTTTTTGAGGGAAGAGGTTGCTCCCATTTATGAAATACATTACCATATGTAGGTCACCGTATTAGGTATTTTGTTAGCATTAATTCATTAAATCAAAAGGGAAAGTCAGTTGGAGGCTACCAACAAATGCAGCAACAACAACAACAAACCAAGCTGCAAATGATCTGAATTTGTAAGTGCCAGCCATTCTGCTTCAAGAGTGGAATGAAATCACTAGATCAGCCCTCGTGGCTCATTCTTGGATATACATTCCCCATTGAGAATTCTACAGAAGCTACTGATACTACCCCAGGAGAAAGGCTCATCGTCATAAAATTGTGTGTGTAATGGCAAGAGTCTCGCAGGCTCCTTGACTCCAGCGGAATATGGACCCCCGATGAGGAGTCCTGCACTGGAGCAATGGTCTCAAAACGCCTTTGCTAATAAATCCTTTCTGAAACAAAAACGTATTCCCAAATTTATGGGTATTTACTTACAAATTATATACGTGTACTGTTCTAATGTGTATATACAAAAACTCAAAAATTAGAATCACGAAAACATTAGATAAAAACAAATATTAAAAGGTCAGCTATTTTCCCACTCCCAGTGAATGGTTTTACACATGCCCTACATCAGGGACCCCAAGCCCCGGGCGGCAGCAGACTCATACTGATCTTCAGCCTGCTGGGAACCCGGCCACACAGCAGGAGGTGAGCAGGTGGGCGGGCATTCCCGCCTGAGCTCCGCCTCCTCAGATCAGCTGTGGCGTTAGATTCTCATTGGCGCACGAACTCTATTGTGATCCGCACATGCGAGGGATCTAGGTTGCACACTCCTTATGTGACTCTAATGCCTGATGATCTGAGGTGGAATAGTTTCATCTCAGAACCATCAACCCATCCCACCCTGGTCTCTGGAAAAATTGTCTTCCATGAAACCAGTCCCTGGTGCCAAAAAGGTTGGGGACTCTTGCCCCAGGGCCTATGGTCCCGTTGCATCTTGCTGCCAGACTTCTCAGAACATCAAGTTCATGAGGCAAAAAGCTGAAAGTACTACAAATAAAACCCTAACCGTCAGATAAAAATAATTTTTAACATTCTGTGATTAAGAAGCTTTACCTATTCTCACCTCTTTTATAAGATAAATAATCCTAGTAAAGATTTCTCAGCGGGCGGGGGGTTACTGGAAAAGCTTTGACTAGTCACCCATAAAAGGACCAGATTTCCTTGGAAGAATCACTCAGCTTTCAGTCCACAGTCATACTGTACTTGTTAAACCAAACTGTGTTGCTTTTTGTCAGCTTAAGACCTGAGTGGAGAATAGCATTGGAAGGTTGCATGGCGTTCTAGAAACAGAAAACCTCTACATTCAAATTTCCCTCTCTGAATCTTATTGGCTAGGATAAGTCATTTAACTTATCTGGGTCTTAGATTCCTTAACTTATAAATAAAGAAAAGAAGAATATGTACATATTACATGGCTTACATGTAGATTAAAATTCAAAGATAACATTAATGGAGGTGAAAGTGTTCCATAAATTATAAAATGCTATATAAATGTGAGGAAATAAAAAACTTTTTGTTTTCCAATCATTAAAAGTCAAATAATTGAAAAAAGTAACTGTTTTCACATAATATTTGTATGTGCCCTTATAGAGAAAACCAGCATGCAAATTAAAATTTCAAAGCCTACTCCAGATCCTTCAAGGCATGCATTTTGACGGCCTGCTGCTCCAAGTCCAAATCCCACAGCTACTGCTAGCTAACTGGGTTTTAACTGACTGGTGTTCCCTGCCCGACCTGTGAACTTTGGGACCCCACCCCTCAGCTTGATGTCCCCTGTGCCCGAGAAACATAATCCAGAGATGTCCTTCATGGATTAAGTCATTGAAGATGACTTACACAAACAGTTTTAAAGCTTCAAAATTTATTGCTGTACATATTCTCATAGCATTTACTATGGAAATACTAATAGTGCAAATACTTATTTTGGACTTCATAGCATTTGAGAAATCACAAAGCTTGTTTATATCTTTGCAATTATTTATGAAGCTCTATATTATTTTAAAAATCCAAACAATTGATCCTATATTCAAAGAGATTGTATAACACTCTCTAGATCTCCTTTTTAGACAAAAAAACAAAAACAAAAACAAAAACAAAAAAAAACCCTGGAAGCCACCAAGGGCATTTCTTTCCTTTATAATACATACAGCTTCTAACACTTTTTCAATTGCATGACTCTTGTTCATTCACAGATTCATTCAACAAATATTTAATGACAAGCTATTATGTGCCAGGCACTGGGCTAGGCTCTGGGAACATTAGGATGAAAAAGCACAATCTCTGCTTTTACGGTGCTTACAGTCTAATAGTAGAAACAGACATGCAAAAAAAAAAATTACAATACAATACAATAAAGTGCTTCCATGGAGGTATTTACAAAGTGCAGTGGGAACTGGGAAGGAGGGAAAGAACATCTGCCTGGAGAAATCAGGGACAACTTCACAGAGGAGGTAGCCATTGAGCTGAGACTTCACCAATGATTAGGAATTCACCATGTAGATGGGCAGGCAAAGCGTGTTTCAGGCAAAGGGAACAACAGGTACAAAGACACGGAGGCCCAAGGGGCACTTCAAAGAAGCACGTAAAGAGGTTTTTCTTGAGCTGAAGGTGCAATGAGGATAGTGGCAGGATGAGGCCAGACAGAGAAGTAGGGATCAGATCATGAAGAGCCTTTTGACCATTATTCCATTTGTTCAGCAGTTACTGAGTGTTTACTAGGTGCCAGTCACTCAGCTAAGCGCTGGGGCTGTAACGGGAAATCAGACAAACACATCCTTGCTCTCAGGGAGCTTACATTCTAGTAGAGAAATAGACAAAAAGCCAACAAATAAATAAAATACAGATTTAGAAAATATCTACAAGGGAAATAAACAAGGTGCTGAGGCAGAATACAGTGTCACAGGGATAGGCGGTAGTTAGGGTTATTAGCAAATGCCTCTTGGAAAGGATGTAAAACTCACACCTGCAGGGATAGGAACAATAGTGTGCTCCAATGTGAGCACCCACTATGTGCCAGGCACTGTGCTACACACTTTAGAAACAGTCCATCTCACTGAATCCTCACAACAACTCTATGAGGTAGGTATTATTATTCCTATTTCACTGAGGAGGGACAGGCTCAAAGAGATTAAATAACCTGACAAGTCATACAAATGGCAAAATCAGGATTCAGACACAGGTTCTCCTAATTTCAAAGTGCATGCTCTTAAAAATCACTCTAAACGGCATACAAAGATAAGTGAGGGAAATAATACGGTCACATTTGCCTGTTCTGATGATCTTTCTGATGACTATATGGAGTGAAAAAAAGGGGGATGGAGAGAGGGAAGGGGAAGAAAGTGGACAGATGAGCAAAAAAGGAAGCCACTGAAAGTCAAGGGGACAGGAAAGGCAGTTCATATGAAGGCAGTGGTCGTGGGGATGGAGGAGATGTGGGGTGCAGTCCGTAGTTCTAATAGGATTGATGAGAAGTCAGAAGCAAGGGAAAGGGCAGCATTGTGCTCACTCCTGGGCTTCTGCCTTGGGCAGCTGGAGAAGATGGCTTGCTTTTACCAGAGTGAGGGAATGGAAGAGGGTGTAGGTTTGTGGGGACCAGGTGATGAAGTTTTGAACATGTTGTCTTGTGGGTATACTGGGAACACCCTGGACTTACGGCATGGTCCCCAAGGGACACCATATAATGGCTTTCATACCTTGTTCTCCACCTGAGTGAAGTATATAAGCAAAAAAACCAAAAAAACACACAAAGTTTTATATGTGTATACATTGTGTTTTTGCTTTTACAAGCTGTTTAGAAAAGCACATATATCTTGGCTGGATTGGTTTGTAAGAAGAAGATATGATCACCAAGCTGAAGTTACCCCAACCCTGATCACAAATGAAGAATCATGGACTCAGGGGAGGAAGAGAAAAGCCCTTGGACATCCATTCTCACTAGTCACACTAGCTTTTAAAAAGAAATCACTATGATCCTCACCCCCACCCCAGCTGGGACAGTCTGATGGGGCCAGGGCAGGCACCCTCTACCAGTTGGCCTCCAGGGTGTACAAGTTTCCCTGCTCATCCACCAGCAGGACTGCTTTAAGGAAACTAATGGCCCTAGGGTCCAGGGATCAAAGTTGAGTGTAAATCAGGAACTCCAAGAAGTGTTTATGTAGTTTGGCATAAAGGTCCAGGAAAAACAGCAGCCCAAACCTAGCCAGTCATATTGCTTCGACTATTCCCCTCTTCTTCCCTGCCTTGGGAACTGGAGGTAGTGATAATAAAATGTACAGGTGACACTCATGTGGAATTGGTCACACCCTTGACTGCATAATTTAGGGTCTAATTTTAAAAGAACTCAAGAGTTAAGAAATAAACACATCCTTCCTATAGAATGATTTTACTTTTGCTCTATCTCTCAAAATTTGTTTTAATTTGCTTATAACTACTCCCTCCCTTCCTCGGTATCAGATTAAGTATGTTTTGATTTTAGAACTCGTTTAATAATGTAATGCTAGTTTTCACAATTAAATATCAATAAATTCAAGTGGTATGAAAGTTACACTCACGAGTTTCAACAGAAAAAAGAATGTTAATATTTTGGAGGCCAGGCCAGGTACAGGTAATGGTTTGTAAAGTATTGCAAACCCTTTCATTAAGCAACTCTGCCTAGAAGCTGCCTCTCACTGTAGCCAAGAGTCTGACCTGCACCTGTTAACTCAGTAAGCTACTGGATGTTAGAGAGTGCCAAGCATTCTTTTTGTTTTTAATGTCTTTATTTGGAAGTTAAATATAGATAAAAGATTGCATGGATGTCGCTTCAACAAGGATAAACTATGCTGTTTTTAAAAAACAATAAACATGGACGCCTTCTAGTAACACCTGAAGGGTACTTGTGTATCTGACTCATGTCCAAGGGAAGAAAAGGCCTTATTCTTACAGAACTATCAAAAGTCCAAGTCACAGGCAAGGAAAAAAAAATTACACATGCTAGATGATATTTAGCAGAAATTCTTAGAAATTCTGGTGAAAGCACGATTCTCACAATGTCCAGAGGCAACAGTTCATACTGCAAATGTATGCGCTATCTTCCTCCAACTCCATGTCAAACCTAAGGCCCAGGGATCAGAGATGAATGTAAATCAGAGGAAGGCTAACGAGGGGTTCTTTATTGTGTGTGCTCTTCAACAGAAAGAATTCCAATCAGTCTGTGAATATAATCATTTATTTGTCTTTACAGTGATGATGGAAGAATGTACAGGTGTCCCCTTTCAATAAAGTATAAAAATATGTTTATATACAGTGAAGTCACAATAATCTTTAACTGGGAAATTTATTTAGAATTCCTGATCTGTTCTTATTAAAACTGTGGGGGAAACAAATATCTTATGTAAGTGCTACATTTCCAGTAGATTGCACCTGGCATCAAAAGCTCAGCTTCATCTTAGGGTCCTGCTTGATATTACAAAAGACTAATTTTAAGTCCTAGGACTCAAAATAAACATGATTTTTTGAATAATAGATATATACATCAAAAATACATCTAAAAAGGCATTGGTTAGTGCTATTAAAAAGCTCTATGTGCTCGGGTACATTTTTTTCTTACAGGCAAAAGCCAGTGGAAACATTTTTGTTCAATTTCTAGGAATTTTCTCTTGGGGAAAGTCGGTCGAAAGTTACCTGTAAAAAAAAAAAAAGAACAAACTTAAGTAATCCCGTGATTTATCAGGTGAGAGGTCAGCAATACTCAAAAAAGAATTAGAGACTGAATTCCACTTAGAACCATGTTTTTACAGCCTTGATGAACATTTAGTTACAGCACTTCATAAATAAAAAGTGCTCAACATATCCCCTCATTGTTTCATTTTATTTTGATGATAACCTTTATTATCCTGTTAATTTTCCAAAGAAATCATATGTATTCTTCTATATGTTTATGCAAATATTTTCTAACTACAATTATCTACATCAGAATAAAAAGAGAATTCAAAGGGCATACGAATGAAAGAGCAGAATAGATAGAGAACAATCCAAATATATTTTGAGAAAATGTAGAAAAATTTCTACTCAAGATACTTTATTTTACTTCACAATTTCTTTCACATGAGAGCATTTACAGATGACAGGCATGTGCCGAGTCTTCCTATTGTTTAACCTGGATGAAATGGCACTGTGCAACTGCAAATTGAACTATTTATGTATTTGATATCCTATCTCATGTATAGCTAAATATATTCACACCTTTGTTTTTATAGTCATCTTCTTACAATCACTTCTAAAATGTTTGTCTAATATCCTGGCATTTCTCTATGATTGTAAAATTTAAGTAACACAGTAAATTGCAACCTGCTATTTAACTAACCAAATAAATAAGTGAATAAACATCCACCTTACTAATAAGGAGGATTAGAAAGAGGTGAGGCATGATGAGGCCGGCCGACCTGAAGGGACCTTGGTTATCACTTATGAGCCCGTGAAGATGGCCATGTCCCACCCTTTACTCAACTAAGTCCTACCTTACCACAGGTTACCATGGACAGCTGATTAAGTCATGTGGTTGTCCTTTAGTTTCTTAAAACTTTTAGGTATATATGGTGTTATTTGAGTAAGGTAAATGTAATTTTCATAATTAAGAAGTACATCTAAATCCTTTCCAATCTACAAGTCTAATGGCTTAGTCTAATAATGCCATCCTCAAGTTTAGAAGATTGCATACATAATTTGAATCTCTCCCTACCTAACATGCCAAAATAATGGCTACTTTTAAAGACCTGATTAAAATTCTAATCATTCAATATTAGTTTGTTATTACTATTATCCACATTTGTGCAAGGCAATGAGCAGTTGCCAACTTCTATATAAGTATAGTGCCAGTGCCTACAACACAGGCTTGCTCAGGAATAGCCTTGATGCCAACCTGCAAAGTAATCCATAAAGGAAGCAAAAGTTGGCTGGTGGTTCACGCTGTAATCCCAGCACTTTGGGAGGCTGAGACGGGCAGATCACCTGAGGTCAGGAGTTCAAGACCAGCCTGCACAACATGGCAAAAACCGTCTCTAGTAAAAATGCAAAAAATTAGCCTGGTGTGGTGTCAGGCACCTGTAATTCTAGCTACTCGGGAGGCTGAGGCAGGAGAATTGCTTGAACCCGGGAGGCAGAGGTTGCAGTAAGCTGAGATTGCACCCCTGCACTCCAGCCTGGATGACAAGAGCAAAATTCCATCTCGAAAATAATAAGAATTTTTAAAAAAGGAAGCAGAAGTCTAGTAAAACCTCAATTAGGTGACCCTTGATTATCTGAAATAATTTCATGAGAAAAGTCTGGAAAAAAACCAAAAAGCCCTGACAGAACAGAAGGGCTTTCTAAGAGTCCATTCTGAAGCAACAGTGCAGAAGCTGGATTAGGTGAGATCCAGATCCCTCTGTGCTCCAGAGACAGCATAGCTGAAGCCGTGGACAGCAGAAACACACTTCAGACCTCCCTCTGAAAGACTTCCAGCATTTTAAGTACACTCATCAAAGCCCATAAATACATCCTTGCCAGTTTGGAAAACAAAATCCAAGTATCAACACAGCATCTTCATGTCTTCAATAAGAAAAGAGAAAAAGAGCTAAAATAGCACTGAACTGGATTGAAATGTTTTTTTTTTTTTTGAGATGGAGTCGCGCTCTGTCGCCCAGGCTGGAGTGCAGTGGCGCGATCTTGGCTCAAGCAACCTCCACCTCCCAGGTTGAAGAGATTCTCCTGCCTCAGCCTCCCAAGTAGTTGGGATTACAGGTGCCCATCACCATGCCTGGATAATTTTTGTATTTTTAGTAGAGACAGGGTTTCATCATGTTGGCCAGGCTGGTCTCAAACTCCTGACCTCAGGACATCCACCCGCTTCAGCCTTCCAAAGTGCTGGGATTATAGGCGTGAGCCACCACACCCAGCCTGAAATGATTCTGTATGGTCAGGAAACTGTGATCCAGAAGTGCTGCCATGGATGGACATGTAAATGTAAGACATTATATGTACTATTGGATTTTGGTCTTGCTGTGGCATGAACCACTCCTCGATTAAGATAAAGGCACTCATGGAAGGGGAAAATTGTGTTAACAATTAAACTCACCCTCCGTGCAATCCCTACCCTTAGCCTGTTCCCCTACCAAACAGAGTTCCCTCTCACCCTGCTCAAGTGATGGCTCAAGTGAAAACCCTGAGGCATCCTCACCACTCTCTCACCCTCACTTCCAGGCAGTCACCTGGTCACGTGATTCTTTCTCCAGCTACATCTCAGATGTACCCGTCTCTTCTCCCAACCCACTGGCATGTCAACATCCTCCTAAAGCCACCATCATCTCTTGTGAGACTACTGCAGCAACACCCAATTGGTCTCCTTGCTTCCAAGCTTTCCCTACTCCAATTCTTGTATTCATGTAGCAGCCATAAGGCTCTTGCAAAGAAGCAAATCTGATCATGCTACTGACTCTTCAGTGATTCCTACTAATTTTCATAATCAATCTCAAGCAGTCATCAATCTCTCTAACAACCCACAGGTCCTAGGTGACTAGGTTCACCGCCCACACATTTCCCCCGCCCCTCCCCAGACGTACTACATTCCAACCACATGGATAATTTCTTCATTCCTTAAAGAAATCAAGTTTCTCCTTGCTGTTCCTTCTAATGAGAACACTTTTACCCAAACCTCCCCTGGCTCATTCCTATGTATCTTTCAGGCTCAACATAAATGTCACTTTCGCAGAGAGGCTTTGTTGACCCTTGACATCACATTAGCACTCCCATCTCTCCCTCTGTTTTGGCTTCAAAGGAAACAATAAATAATTGGTTTTGGGTTGGCAAAAAGGAAGACATGGCCTGCCAAAATAAAGCAGGATGGAAGCCAGGAAGCAAGATGCAACAGAAAGCCTTGGAGATCTGCATGTGCTCCTCTGAAGACAAGTATGCCCACGGCACAGAGCAATGAGCCTGGAATGTGAGTTTGAGATAAGATCAAAATGTGCATTTTTGTTGTTGTTTTTTGAGTCAGAGTCTTACTCCATCACCCAGGCTGGAATGTAGTGGCACAATCTCGGCTCACTGCAACCTCTGCCTCCCGGGTTCAAGCAATTCTCGTGTCTCAGCCTCTCCAGTAGCTACAATTACAAAATTCCAGCTATCCTACCACGCCCAACTAATTTTTATATTTTTAGTAGAGACAAGGTTTCACCATGTTGGCCAGGCTAGTCCCAAACTCCTGACCTCAAGTGATCTGCCTGCTTTGGCATCCCAAAGTGCTGAAATTACAGGCATGAGTCACCAAAACCAGCCTAAAATTGTGTATTTTTTAAGGTAAAGTATTTATTATGCTTTTCAGTGTCCTTCTTGTTCTCCCCACATCAAATCTGTGCTAGGGAGAACCTAAGAAAAATAAAGAGATTTTGCTACTTTGCCACCATAACTTTAAAGAGAAGCAATATGCCCCACAGGCTACTGTGATGGAGATGACAGTCACCTTCCTCTCCTGGGGCCGTTCCTCCCTACCTGACAAAGTCCTTTTCTTCTGCTGCTGCTCTTCTCTAATGACACCTTAGAGGTTTTCCACCTGGTTTTAATAAAGGAGACTAGATCCCTTGCAAGTGACTGCAGGGGTGTGAATGTCCTCCCAGAATGGGAACAAAAGGATGCAATAACTTATATGGTCCTTCAATCCAGAGAGAAGAACCAAACAACAGCACATGCCTAACCCAAGCAGAGGAGTAGCTTTTTCATTCACTGCGGAGGAAGCTAAAGGGAAAATAACAAGAAAATAATAACAACACCATTTTTTTTTTTCCTGAGATGGAGTTTCACTCTGTCACCCAGGTTGGAGAACAGTGGCACAATTTTGGCTCACTGCAACTTCTGCCTCCCAGGCTCAAGTGATCCTCCCACCTCAGCCTTCTGAGTAGCTGGGACCACACGCATACAACACCACACCCAATTAATTTTTTGTATTTTTAGTAGAGATGGGGTTTTGCCATGTTGCTCAAGCTGGTCTTGAACTACTGAGCTCAAATGATCGCCCGCCTCAGCAACCCAAAGTGCTGGGATTACAGGCAGAAGCCATTGTGCCCGGCCAAGAAAACACAACATCTTAAGCTCCAAGTCACTCTCTCTGGTGTCAGTTTACCTGATCATATTCTTAGGCTTCATCTCCACTGTCCATTTCAATATCCATCTCTTCTGTATCAGCAGCTCGCGACAAGATGTCTGCCATCAGTGCTTCTTCCAATTTCTTGCGTACTTGCTGTACTCGCTCTTCCTGTTTCCTTTTTAAAAACAGAATAAAAAGGCACTGATAATTTGGCAAGTAATGACAATATGAAGCTGCTACAGAAGTTCATCCTTACTTCAAAATCATTAAATTTCTAAGAAGAATAGAGTTCCTTTTCAGATTTTGCAGAAGTTGCTTCTAAACATAAATCAAATCTCACCAATGAGCCTTGCCAAAAAGAGGAATATTCACACAGGCAGTTATCCCTCATCACACATGAAATTCTAGAAAGAGCAGATTGATGTCAGTGACCTTTTCTTCAACTTTGAAAATGTCGACTGTGTCAAAATTTGGGTTTATTCCTATAAGGACAATTAGAAATAACTTAGAAGCAGGAATAAAAGATGGAGGGAACATAAATAACAAAGGAAAAGTGACTTGTTCATGGAAGCACTGAGAAAGATGGAGAAAGCAGAGACATGATAAGCTGGGATTTGATTGACATTCCGTGGCTAGGTTAGTTAGGAGAGAGCTCTCTCTTGAGTTCCCAGGTCTGCAGGCAACAGGTCAGCATGAAGGAGCCAAGACCACATGATTCTGCACACTGAGGACAGACACTGGAAAGCTTCTCTTCTACTGAGAAAGTGAGTTGCTTAAGAACATGCCATGAGTTTCTCTGTGTCTCAGTGATTACAAAGGAACCTCAAAAGTGAGGGTTAATAACTCCAAGTTATTAAAAAGGCTCTGAACCACTAGATGAAGAACAAAGCACAGGAAGAAAGGCTACCAGTATACACTTTATCTTCAAAAAGTTAAAAAAAAAAAAAAAAAAGAAAGTAGAGCCCCCAGAGGGTAAGAGACAAATTCCTAATACGGGTCTAGCAAGCAAAGCTCGGTAAATATAAAGTGACATCCAGAACCAAATAGAGAGGCAAAGGTTGAAGAAAGACAAGAGAAGAGAGAAGGAGAGAAGACTGGTAGGAAAAGGTTCCAGCGGGAACAAGAACAGAAGGCAATGGCAGAGGAGGGTCAGCAGAACAGAAAAGGGGGCAAACCTCCTGAGACCAGAAGAAAGGAGATAAGGAAAAATGCAGAAAGGGAAATGAAGATGCAACAAGGAATATACTAAGGGTTCTACTGAAAAAAAAAGTAATTTTCTCTACCAATAATTGAGGAAGACAGATTGCAGCAATTCCCAAACCTGGGACAGCAGAGGGGTAGAGGAGCAATGCTATAGAAGACTGCACTAAGGGTCCCTGAGTATTCACTCCATAGGGACTCAACCAGCTGCCAAGTCATATTCAGTCTACTCAAGATCACACCCCTTTGACCAAATGAGACTATGTCCAAGATAGTGAAGGTGACACATATGTACTACTTCCCACAAAAACTTTGGATATCTTTATGAAACTCCAAAACACCACAAAGAGTTAAAAAGTATAGACTTCCACTTATTAAATGAATTTTCAAAGAGGGAAGCTGTCACTGGGTCAGTCTTAGCTCTATAGCCTCTGTCATATTAAAAGAAACTGGAGTCCGACAGATTTTCATGCCATGGGACAGGGTCAAGCAGAACATATTTGTTTATTTCTTATACAGTTAGTCTCACCTCTGGGTCAGTGACTCAAAGTTTATGACAAATGACCTATTAGTTTCACTGGCAGGCTCTCACTGATATCAGAGTACAAGAATCTCCACAGCTGTCCTAGAGTAACCTCATTAGGAACATGGGGAAAATGGAGCAAATGGCACCATCTGCAGTGATTTGGATGGAGAATTTTATCTTAAACTCTAACATTTCCCATTGATTTTCTTCTATCTTGAGCATTACTTTCCACATTTGTGAAAGCTGAAATTTAATCATTTGCCCATTGCTGTAGGCGGAATTGTAAGATGTCCCCAACAGTCCCCCTTCCCCAAAACCACCTCTATGTGCACTCTTTATATAATTCTCTCCCCTTACGGGTGAGCAGAACTAGTGAATATGATGGTATATCTCTCCATGATTAGGTTACCAATCAACTGATTTTGAGTCAATCAAGAGAGATTACTGTAGTGGGCCTGACCTAATAGGACCCCTTAGTGGAGCTGGGATCTTCCTGACGGGAGCATAAAGTGGCACATGGAGGAGCCACAAGACAAGGAACTACAGGCAGCTTCCAGGAGCTAAGACAGCCACCATCCCATAGCCAACAAGAGAACAGGGGCCTCAGCCCTAAAACACAAGGAATGAATTCTGCAACCATCATATGAGCTTGAAAGAGAACCCCAAGCTTCAGAAGGGAACACAGTCCAGTGACACGTGTAAGACCCAAACACAGAACCCAGTCACATGAGGCCCAGACTTCTGACCTCAAAGAACTTCGAGCTAATAAATGGGTGTTGTTTTAAGCTACAAAGTTTGTGAGAATTTGTTACAAAGTATGAAAAAACAAAACTACCCATCAATGCAAATAGTATCAAATATGCTAAAAATACTTGAGATATATCTTGTTAGGGTCTTCAGCTGGAGGTTTAATGTAGACAGACTATTGCATACACAATTAGATAAAGAGTAACAGTTCCATTTGCAGTAATTTATTTTGAACATGTACTAATTCAACAAGGAGTATTTGCTTCCTAATTTCTGTCATGACAATTAAATCAAATGAGCAATTTGTTAGACAAATTTACCCAAAAAGGAAATCATCCAGAATTGGCTTTGAGATAGTTTCCTCAACTATCAAAAGATCTGGTGTTGAAGCCATCAACATTCCTGTGATATAACTCAGAGAACCTCCATCAACACACATAAGGACCTGGCGGAATCCCTGCTGATTCGGTATTCATTCAAGATGGAAAAGAACTTGTCTCTGGAGTAATTTTCTTCCTCAAGGGTAAGAACAATCCAATGAGCAAGTTCATTCCTTTCATTGATTTTTTACATTTTGTTTTCTTAAAAAATAAAGTTTTTAAGAAACTTTATTCATATTCATATGCAATCAAGGCATATGAATACAACTTTGTACCACTTTTTATCTTTGCAAAATAATTACTTTAAGACCCAAGAAGGGCTTTCGCATTATAAACCTAGATAGACTTACCCATTTAAAAACATTTTCATGTCAACTTTGTATGGATTTTTAAAAAAAATACAAATATAGGCTGGGCGTGGTGGCTCACACCTGTAATACCTGTAATCCTAGCACTTTGGGAGGCCGAGGCAGGCGGATCATGATGTCAGGAGTTCAAGAGCAGCCTGGCCAATATGGTGAAACCCTGTCTCTACTAAAAATAAAAAAATTAGCTGGGCATGGTGGTGCTCGCCTGTAATCCCAGCTACTCAGGTGGCTTAGGCAGGAGAATTGCTTGAACCCAGGAGGCGGAGGCTGCAGTGAGCCGAGATTGTGCCACTACACTCCAGCCTGGGCAACAGAGCAAAACTCCATCTCAAAAAACAAACAAAATAACAAATATAAAACATTTTAAAATTACATGATTCGAAAGTGCCATCTGCTAGTTTTGTCTAGGAATAATACTCTAATTAAACTGATTTACATTCAGGGGACAGAAATAGTGAAGTATACACAAGGTCATATTTTTAAAGAAAATGCAATATACTATATAGTATCACTATAAAGTATCACTATAAAGTAATGATATTGAGGTCATAAAACCCATATAAGAATTGCTCTGTGGTCTTACTAACTGGAGTAGTTTTGCTTTTCCTGTGCAATGGTTTGCTTCTATTTTCTGGGTTCTAGCAATCTGAGTTGGATGTTTTCCTTTTACCATTTGCTGCTGAAACCCTAACTTGTGAGTCAGCCTTAGAAAGAGTGAAAGGTGTCAGTAAATAGTTTGCGTCTTGCCTCATTCCTGACTCTGTTTTGTTGCTTTACCTGTGGTTTCTTCTTTCTTACTTGCTTCTCTTCTTGCTCTACTGTGTCACAAGTAAGTTTAAGAGCAGCATCACTATCATCTGATTTAAAGAGAGATTGGTTTCCAGACAAACCAATGAAGGAAGCAATCAGAAAAGGCATGACTGAGTGAAAGGGGTTCCTTATATTTATTTTTATTTTTCTAAGACAAGATCTAGCTCTGTCGCCACAGCTGGAGTGCAGGGATGCGACCACAGCTCACTGGAGCCTCGACCTCCCATGCTCAAGCAGTCCTCCCACCTCAGTCTCCCAAGTAGCTGGGACTACAGTTACATACTACCACACTTGGCTAATTTTTTAAAATTTTTTGTGGGGATGGGGTCTCACTATGTTGCCCAGGCTGGTCTCAAACTCCTGGGCTCAAGCAATCCTCCCACCTCAGCCTCCCAAAGTGCTGGGATTATAGGCAGGAGCCACTGTGTCTGTCAGAAAGAGGTTGTTTAGAATAGAAAGTCAGAATCCCAAATTGCAAAAGACACAGTAAAAATGATGCTTAGGGAATATAACTGATCTGGTGCCTGTCCTTTGGACATGACCATGATGATATCCCTGGCATGCAGCATTTACACCCCTTTCAAGCATGTATTTGTTATAATGGTCTTTTTTCACCTTCCATCAGTTTCTGTAAAACTCTGTAAAAAAAAAAAAAAAAAAGTATAACTTTCTAGGTGATATATCACTTACTAGCTATGCCACTGAACCTAATGAACAGCATAAAATTTACCCAAATGTAAAAACCCAAGTTTATGAAGTCATGTTAAACTGCATTACCTGATGTCTTCATCTGTGACGATAAAAGCTTTGCAGAGGGGTTGAGATGTGTTAAGCCAAACAGCGGGGTTCTTTTCCACAGCAGCGGAGACTTGCCCTGTGATTGGCGCAGAGCTTGTGTGCAAAGCACTGGCAACAGCAGATAAAAGGGTCTCATCATTGCTACCTGGACCAACTCCTGCAATGAGAAATAAGTACTAGTTAAAGGAAATGTCTCAATGTGCTGAGCAAACTTTATGTGACCTAAAACAACTGATATTTTTATATATATTTGAGATCATATATGTAAAACCGATATAAAACAAAGCAGCAAAAGATAATATATCTACTCAATAGGTATGATACACTAAATAATTCACACTAAAGAAATAGTAACAAAATAGCTGAGCATTTTTTCTTACTTTAAAAAACAAATCCTCATGCTTGCTGTAAGCTTATAGCTGAGCATTTTAATAATACTTTACCAGAACTGTAAAACACATTTTCCAAGGTACTAAACTTTTAAAAAGTTGGCTATATTTCCCCAAGCAATGTTAATTATTTTAATGAGGTGAGACCTGGTGAAGCGACTATACTCAAGTATCCCTTTTAATGTATTCCTAGAGTACTGGTATAGTTTCTCCTTGTAGCTTTTAACATTAATTTCCAGAAATATCTCAGCAATTATCTTCTTTGTCTCGGGATTCAAAGAAAAAGCCAATGCAAGCAAGCTGTACCTGTGGCTTTAACAGCTTTTCTCATAAACCTAACAAAACAGCCAAAATCAGAGAATTAATAACTGCACACTTTGATTACTTGTAAGATACTGGCACCATGTCACATGTAAATGCAATGGTTAAAGTCCTAAACCTGTTTAACTAGTTAAGGCCAACATTCCAAGAACATAAAGAGATAAGGCAACAATCTAACCATGAATTATGAGGATTTTTGAGCAATTCTCAATATATCAAGCTTTAGAAGCCAAATTTTTAATACTTGAAAAATAAACTCTTCTCTAGAACTCGCAGTTCTCATATAACACGAAAGGTAGACCAGTGACTGAATTTTCCACCCCAGATCCCACTGGCTGCTGTTGCTGGACCAAAGTGCATCTGTTCTCACTGCTACTTAGAGCACCAGTTTGTGGAGGGAGGGGCAGAAGGAGAGCTGTTAGTTGTTCTTGTGGTAAGAGGATGAGAGAAAGAGCAGGTGGTAGGGCCAGATGCTGCTATAAGCAGGAAGCTTGAGAAATTCTGTTACTCATCCGCATCCAGTGCTAAAAGCAGCACATGGGTTAGCTTCTGTGATGAACCTAACCTAAAACCAAAATTTTTACACAGAAAAAAATCTAAGATAATATACTACATGGCAGCATCCCTGTAACACACAAGTTTTTCATGTAGCTTCTGCCTGGCTTTACTAAAACACAAGAGGTACGTCATCCAGCAAGGCATATGACCTCCCAAGGCAAAGACCTCCTGTCAGTCATTGCTGAATCCACAGCATCTAACAGAGTGCCTGGCATGCAGTAGGTACTTAATAAATGTCTGCTCAACTGAACTTAGATAATACCTTGAAGACCTTTGGGTAGTTCCATGGTTTTTATAATTTGTTCTGTTACATCTGATGCACTAAGTCCTTGTAGCCTCTTCTCCCAGAAAAGCTGTAAGGCAAAATATCACTGTTAATAGATACATTCTTGAAACAAGAAAGTAGCGCATCGATGCTGTTGAATAATGAAATTTAAATCATTTCAATAGTTTCCTATAATTTCCTCATTTTTCCTTATAAAAAGCTAAATGATATTCCAAACGTGAATTATTTCAACACATCATAATCCTCTCAGATGACATTGCTCAAAAAAGGTTGTTTTATGTGACCTATTCACTTGTTACAGTACTATAGATGGTTATACGCTGTATACTATGTATAGTTTCTTATAGGGTATCTTCCAAAGAAAAGAATTTGAATTTTTTAAAGATTCATCTGGCATGAAATTTTAATGCTACGACTTATTAGGGAAAAGAAAACAAATTATATGATGTGTTATCCCTCTTTATCCAATATTATTAGAGAAAGAGCTACTCCAATATAGGATTTCTCCAAGACAATGAAGTTTAGCTCTTTAGCACACTTTAAGGGAGAAAAGACCATTTTTAATGAAACATTTTCTAAAATGTTTTAGGTGCCTCCTTTATTTTTAAACTGGATGTCACATTCATGAGTGATTCCCTGCTGCACAGGGCCTGGATCACCATGGTCCTCAGTGGCCTCAGGTCATCATTATGGGCATCAGTGAGTACACTGAGAGGCTCTTCATGCCCTAGGGGCTATGGAGCTTTTTGCTTATTCAAACACTAACTGGTCCAAGACAATCACGGTTTTTATTTTATATCCTTTTCATGTTTGATTCTCTCTCCTAGTTATTACTTTTCACTAATATCACTCACCCATTCAACATATATTTATTGAGTTCCTACTAGGTACTGTGCTCACCCTGCAGATGTGACAGTCAGTAGCAGAGACAGTATCACTGTCCTCATGCCTCCTTTCTTTTCTAGTCTGTTTCATATTTACTGCAGCCAAAAAAACAGATAAAGGATTTCTATAGGACTCTGATAATTGCCTTTAATCCCGGATACCAGGGCCTGTCACATAGTTGGTACTGAAAAAATATTTATGAGAATGACTGAAAATGGGAGCAACTGGACTCAGAGTGAGGATCTGGGGGACACACAAACCCATACTGAAATCTCAGCGGCAACACTGTCTCTAGATAGACGACCTTGGACAAGGTCTAAACCCATGCTGAAATCTCAGCTGCGATACTCTCTAGATAGAAGATCTTGGACAAGGTTTATAACCTCTTCAGAATCTTCAATTTATTTCCTCTTCTATAAATGTGGCAACAATAGCTATCACAAAAGATTACTGTGGGAGTTAAATAAGGCAATATGTATAAAGTATCCATTATAAACTGGGCACAAGATTTATCACATTTGCTTTTAGCAAACTGTGGCCACTCTGAGGGCTTTTGGGGCTTACATTCTGACTTCTAGATATATGTGAAGTATCAGATAATTGTTCTCCAGATAAATGAGAAGACACAGTAGTGTAATTCTATTTATGTTAGAAGAGCAATATGCTGAATTTGTAATAAGCACAACACTAGCACCAAGGAAGGCCTTTGGTATATAGTAACATCTTACATCTCTCTGCTAATCACATTATCAGTAGAATATGTTGTCAATATAAACAAGTCAACAATTCGAGGATATAAATGTATTACTCATCATGAATGAAAAGTAGTAAGGTGAAGGTAATAATTGATGAATGCAATAAATGTCCCAAGAAAACCTGCCTGCTTTCTACTTGCTCTTTGGTGGAATAATATCATCTGTGCTTTGAATATCACAGCTATAGAAAAAAAAAAAGGAAAACAAAACCCAGTTACATTTCTATTGAAAAAGTATCCAGGAGAATTAGTGAGGATAAGATTAGTAAGTGCTTTCAGAATTAAATATAATTAAACATTTGTATCTGTGTGTGTGTGTATATATATATACAATTTAATACAAGCACTTACTAATCTCATAGTCACTGATTTGTAAAAATAAATCAACACTACCAAATAAAAGCATGGGAATTATGAACAGATACATTGTTTATATTTTACATCTAAAAGTTCCAATTCCAGATACCAAAAAATAATTTGTTTTATTCTATCTTTTTTAATTCTTAACTTTTAAACTTCTATCAGTAACAAGGAAAACAATACAAAAATTTAAAAAGAAAAATTTAGTAAAACTAAATCCCGGACTGAAATACAAGTATATGGCTCTAGCTTGTATCACATCCTGGTAACCACCACGTGTTATCTGATAGCCCTCAACTACGGCTGAAATTAGAATCTGCTATGTGTGGATGCTCTCTTTATAAGAGAGGACATAAGAAACTAAGATTTTGCATATGCTCTTTTGATAGTAAAAGCACCATTTCCAGAGTTCAGGAGCAAAAATAACAAAATTGTTATGCCATGAAAATGGAGATAGATATATATATATTTTTTATGTATGCGTATGTGTGTGTGTGTGTGTCTCTGTGTGTGTGTGTGTGTGTGTGTGTATCTTCCCCCACCCCCAACTCAGGGAAGAAAGGGGGAGTGAAAAAGGTCAGAGAAGGAGAGGAGGCTAGTTTAAGGAAACACTTAAATGGTCAAGGTCACTTCCTCTCCAACCTTTCCAACACTCACTCAAAGCTAACAAGCTCGCCTAATTTCACTGAAAACTGAAACAGTCCTCAGGAGGTAAATGTCTGTTTACATCTCAGTATGTTCCTAACTCACTTTTCTGTACATCCATCTTCTCAGATCCCTGTTTTATTTGTTTCGGCAGGGGATGCGGGCAAGGATTCTTTGCATTTTAAAATGCACTTTAAATGTACATACAGTAGGCATTATGCTAAGTGAAAGAAGCCAGTCTTTCCCACTCTGTGTGATTTCACTCCTATGATACCCTGAAAAGGAAAACCTATAGGGAAGGTTGCCAGAGATTAGGATGGAGGGGAGTCTGACAGCAAAGGCTCAGCACAAGCAACTTCTTTGGGGTGCTAGGACTGTACTTTCTGGTTGTTAATACGTGGAGACTTTGTCCAGCTTATATAATGACCATTTTCTTTTCTTTGTAAGCCTGTTCCTCAAGGAATGGCCCAATGTGCACTATTGCCCTTTCCCAAGCCTACTGCAACTTTATTAGCCCATCCCCTTTCTAGCCAACTTGCACTAAACCTACTCTAACAGTCAGCTCCTCTCACCAAATTCCAAGATCTTTTCTCATTATCTTTGGCCACTATAGCCCTCAGTGCTTCAGAGGGAGCAGGGGAGGAAAAGGTCTTCCTTTGCCTAAGTTTAAAATTTCCTGATCTACTCACTTAGGTGAGTAGGTTTTTCCTTGGAGATTCTGTTCACTTGGAAGTCTCTCCGCTTTCTCAAACATTAGCAGTCCAAAGACTTTAAGATTCAAAAGATGAGTAATACTCAAAATATTCAAAACATATGTAAGGACTCTCCCTCTATGATGGCTACCTAGTCTGTTGCACTACACTCCATAAGCACTACTGCTGTCATAAATCCTAACCTACTCACTGAAAATCTGATTTCCCCTGCCAAATTCAGTGGTTTTCTCAGCTTAATCTTGCTGCCTGGTGTGAAGCCAAATGATCAATATATAGAATATGTATAAGGAACAGTGATTTAACATTTGGAGAAACTCCCAAAATGTGCTATCACCCTCAGTTATTACATCTCCCTCGAATCCTCAATAACCAGATACTCTGAGTGCATCTAATACCTTGTTCTCTTTGTCACTTTCCAGTATATTAGAACATTGGCTAGCTCCACATGCCTATCACCTTATAACACCGTCTGGGCAATGCCCTATCCAGGAAACCAGCTGATGGAGAGAGAAACATGGGATGGAATTAAAAGTCACTTAAAACCACAAAAGTGCCTAAAATTTAAGTGACAGTGCAGAGCATCTTTGGAGAAACCATCTTAGTGGTCACTGCAGTTCATCTCTACACATTTTCTCCGCACAGTTCTCCTAGGAAGGACATCAACGGAAGCACAGCTGCATGGACTTTACTCCACTTAGTGTCCCAAAGAACAAACATGAAGGTGTATTACAAAAACTGCTTCTTTAGTGAGGTCAATGATCAAATCTGTTTACTGAAAGTAAAATGAACCCACAATAGCATTTCCTTTTCGTAATTGTTATGTATTCAACTTGGACTTTGAGGGATTTGTTCAATTTGCCTTATGAAGAATATACAAAGAGGATGAGAAAGAAACAGGCATCACAAACAACCCCTCGCCACCATTCACAGACAGTGATCCCTATTCTGATGCTCTGGAAACTGAGGCTGATAATGCTGATTATTATTTACCTTCATCACCGAGTTTATTAATATTACTCTGAAGAGATTTCTACTCTTTACTGAAGAACAAAAGAGATGGCTTACTAGGAAAAAGGAATTTGAGGATCAACAATATTCAACAAATACTCTTTGAATGCCCATGATATGTAACGTGTTTTTCTGGCACTGGGGATGCTTGGTAGGATAATCGACAACAACTGCCCTCCAGGAGCTGTTTGGTAGAAAACATGCAAAACTCTACAAGGCCGACTGCAATAATGAAGATACGTCTCTAACTTCAATTTGGGAAGATCTGGAAAGGCTTCTAGGAAGAGGTAGCCCTTGAAAATTGTGTAAGAATTCTATAGACATGTAGAAGAGAAAAGACTATTTCAACCCAAGAATCATATGGGCAAGGAGGTAAGAGAGTGCAGGTCAGTGTTTCTAAAGATCTTATGAAGAAAAATAACCAAGGTGGCTTATTTTAAAAATATATTCCAAGGCCTCATCCCCAGAGATTCTATTCAGTAGGTCTGGGATTAGAGAGCTAGTTTTATTTATTTTTTTACAAATACCTTAGGTGATTCTGATGCAGGTTCGAGGTATGAGAAAGACTGGCTTGGTTTGTGTTGAAAGAATGTTAGTAGCTGGGTGCAGTGGCTCACACCTCTAATCCCAGCACTTGGGGAGGCCAAGGTGGGCGGATCATCTGAGGTGAGGAGTTCCAGACCAGCCTGTCCAACATGGTGA